GAGCTCTATAGAATCTACCGTTTACTCCATATTTAATATGCCTGTAGGCTTCAAGGTCCCAGCTGATCATACCAAAAGTCTTCTGAGAGTCAGTAAAGCATTGATGTGTTGTAGACATTGTAGACAACACAGTGAAATCATCAAATCATTTATTTGCAAGTAAGATAAATCAAACTATGCAGCATGTAGAAATCAGTATGTAAGTACCATGAAGTGTGTTTTGGTTTGTTGGAGAGAAACTACAGAATGAAGGAGGTTCTTATAGTGCAGATCATCAGCCTCCCAGGTGTAGCTCATGTAGCTCCTCATCCTCCATCCAGCACCTGCAAAACATGAACATAAAGAAACAGGGACACCTAGTGGCCAGGTGGAGGGGTAGCCACGATCGGCTGCTCATTAGGCTAAACCCCCTGCAAATGTGGTGTTTTGGTACCGCTTTAATACTAGATTTAGCCACATAGATGACATTTATACAAAGCTGTATTTAGTTACAAGATGTTTAAAAGGTGATTCTTTTGCTGTGTTTTCAACTTTCCCCCAGTTCTGCTGTATTGATGATCAAATAACTTCTAGTAAGCTTGTGTCCCTCTCTGCTGCAGACCTCCAACACTATCTCCTGGTCTTTGCACCTCTTGGCAAAGGAGCCAGAGATCCAAGAACAGCTGTACCAGGAAGTGATCGGAGTTTGTCCCGGTGACAAAGTGCCAAACAGCAGTGACATCGCTCATATGCCGTTTCTGAAGGCCATCATCAGAGAGACGCTGCGGTGAGAGAGATTCTTTCATTTCTGTCAACAGAACGTCCTCGCTGGGAGGTAGTTTGCTTGTTTGAACCATGTTTGCTCTGGATGCAAGAACATAGAATCTCCAGAGGTACAAGAGACATGGAATAATCCTGAAATCTCCTCTTGATTAGTAAGACTTTTTATGTCATGCTAACGGGAAAAATGAACCTGTCACTTTGTTAAATTTATTTACCTTTTGGTGGAAAATTAGACAAACGGAGCGATGCCATGAAGCTCAAGCCTGCAGACAGTTTGCTTAGCTGCCCATATAAATGTGCTGTTTCTATGTATGCTGCTGCACTTACCTGTTCAGGTGTCAGCGGTTTCTTGATCTCAGTTCAGGATTCTTTGCAAAAGGCGACCAGCAAAACAACAAAGCTGTTTATATGCCAACTAAACATTAATGTGTTTGCAAGTGGTGAGATAAATAGTTGCTTTTGTGCGATGAAAAGATGAAAATGGTGTTGACTCCTGCTGTTACTGTGTCCTGTGGTCACCAGGCTGTATCCGGTGGTACCAGGGAACGCCCGAGTCACTGTGGACAATGAGATTGTGGTTGGAGATTATCTCTTCCCAAAAGAGGTGAGACACGAGTCAGACAGTGGGGATCTCCTTTAGATCAAGGCACCACAAGCTGCTTCACTGTTCAGACAAAAACAAGACGTATACTTTTAATAAGACACGATATGAGAGTTACAGTGCAGACAACTCTGGTCTTTCTCTCCCAGACTCTGTTCCACTTGTGCCACTACGCCGTTTCGTACGATGAAAACGTCTTCCCGGACCCCCACACCTTCCTGCCTCAGCGCTGGCTCCGAGGACTGGAGGATAAATCCAAGCAGCACCCGTTCGGGTCGGTGCCGTTCGGTTTTGGTGTCCGGGCGTGTTTGGGGCGGCGGGTGGCTGAGCTTGAGATGTATCTCCTCCTGTCCAGGGTAAGACCATCTGTTACTGCTGTTCTTTGTCTGGTGGATGTGTCAACAAGTAAAGCAAAGTTATGCAGTGAAATCAAAAGGAGTGTTGTGTCACGTCATGTTATTTCACAGATAACTGGCTTCTATAATGCAATTCGTTTTAATCTTAGGTTTTTGCATTTAGCCATGGTGTGATCTAGAAGCTACTTCTCTGTAATGATTTCTGCAAGAGTCGACTTTTTGGTGGCAATAATAAAGCGACATAGTGGATAAGTACAGGCCTGAATCCTGCCACAGAGCACAGCTGTGTTGGACGTCTATCCCACACACTTGACATTCCTGAAAAGCTTACGACATCTTCAAACCTCTTGAAGACCCTCCCTCAGCTCTGCAGTATATATAAACACTACAAGTCCAAATCTCCAATACACATGCCCACAAATTCAGATTTACCCAAATACATGTAAACTACAAAGAAACACAAACTCATTTCAGGACTGTCCCACCGAAGAGACACAAGAACAACATCTGTATCTAGTAGTGATGTAATCCAGGGGTTTTCCAAGAGGACTCGTATCACTCAAACTGTAAGATTGAAGAAACATTTTAAAGAAGGCCACAAATACCACAAATCAGCAACAATGCGATATGCCAAAGGAGTCCATTTGTGTATGTTTTTGTATATGTTGCTGCAAAGTCATTAATCCGTCCCAAATCATCAGCAGCCTTCTGTTCAGAAACTATGATTTTTTAAATATTATATCTGTGGTGTTATATACTTACAGAGAGAATGTTTTTTCCTTTTTTAAAAAAAATTTCCCTTTGACCCACTTTTAGCACATTTTTTAGCACATTGAAATTTGAGATGATGATTGAACAACAATATCCCAGAGGACCATTGTGAAACTCCAGATCCCTCTTCCACTTGGATCAGTCTATCAGTCTATCAGTGCTTTTGGTTTTTGTGGTGCAACTTCTCCCACCTGCTCAATCAGTTGGGAAAGTTAGATGAATTTTTTTTTTTAATTTCTGTTTTTGTGATCAAGTGTTTAATTTAAAAAAAAAAAAAAAAAGTCCCTAGTTGACTTCTGCATTCAGTGTTTTTGTTACCAGGTGCTCAAAGATAGAATTTTTCCTATTTCAACTTACTTATTCAATCTACTTGTCCAATATTGCGGTTTCTGAATTTATGGCATGATGAGAAACAACCGTGAAAATTTCAGGCTTTTAGCTTTAATAGTTCCTGAGATATTGTCATCCAAACATAGCCTCAAATTACAATGTGCAAAACATACCTCCTGAAAGTGGGTTGAAGGACATTTAATGTGTTTGATATATTCAGTTCAATTCACTTTTATTTCTACAGCACAAATTTACAACATATGTCAGCTCACAGCACTAAACATGGTCGGGTACAGACCTTACAAATTTTTAACAGAGAACCCAAAAATCCAAAGTTGCCTTTGGACTCCTTGTGAGCAAGCAGTCGGCAACATGTCAAACTAAAGTTTTACAAATATCTTTCTAAAAATCCATATTTCATGCCATAAACATTTCACATTTCAGGCAAACCAGAGGTGTTTTAGCAGAACTTGTTTTAAGATTTTGATGATCTGAGATGGAATGACCAAATAGAAAAAATAACAGAAAACGTTTTACACAAAATTAACAGCTTTTGACTCCTGAAGCACCCAAACCAGCAGCTTCCAACCTCCTAAATCAAACACCTACGTCTCTTTATTTCAAGGAATCTGTTTTTTTTTTTTTTGTTGCTGGATTCAGAGAGAAGCGTTGACCTCAAGTGACCGTTTGACCAGCCTACAGCTCTGTTTACTCTCCCTTTGTCAGTGTCGGCATTTGGATGAACACAAACCACTAATGAGCCATATGACTTTGGGCTGAATCCTCTCAGCCAAAACCCACAGTAATAATTCAGTCAGCTGGCGAGCAGTTGGTAGCGCCGACTGTAATTACATGAGTCTGCACGCATAAATAAATATCCTGCTAAAAATAAACACCTCACTTATTCTGAACCCTGTTCTCCCTCCTTTTTCTGTTAAAGTTGATAAAGCAGTACGAGGTGAGGCCGGATCCTGCTGGAACCACAGTGAAGCCGATCACCAGAACCCTGCTTTGTCCCGCCACGCCGATAAACCTGCAGTTTCTGAACAGGAGAGTGGAGCAGGCAGAGCCGAGGGCAGCGGCCGGAGCTTCTCTGTGAGCTGCTTTTAGTATTCACACTGTGTTGCCTTTCTGTCACCAAGCACTTGTTTATACAGAGTTTAAAACATGAGCACCGGCTGGAATCCGCCTAAACTGTGCTGCTGCTGCAGACTGAATGAAGAGGGGGGCTGTGCAGTATATAGAACCACTACACTGTTGACTCATACTTTAACGCACAGTTTAGTCAATGCACATCTACAGACGCCACTTTTTTTTTTCACTGTGAGCTGTTTCCAAACTTTATTCAGTCCTTTCTGGATAGAATTTACGCGTTTTCTTCATGTTTCTGTGGGTCTGACTGTAGTGTCTCCAAAGAAATGTGTGTATTCCGAGATCATTTCTGCTCATGCCTCTAAAAGCTAGTGCTGATGTTATTCAGTATTTTATTTAATCGTTAATCCAAAGCAACAAGTTCGTCTCTGGACACTTTTAGACTTTGCTACACTACAAGATTCCTGCTGAAATGTGCATCCTAAATGGCACTTATTTTTTATTTGCTGAGCACTGTAGTTTGTAGGAACCATTACTCGTATTTAAAATACTTCATCTTTTTCAGTGTTTAAGAGGGAAGATTTGTGCACAAAGGCTTTTTTTCAGTGTATGTAAAAAATGAACAAAAATCAATTCGTAGTTTATTTTTACTACAAATATATAGACACTACTCGTCCTTCTTTTGAAGTAGTTTAAGTAATGTTTTTACGCTGTATATTAAAGACTTTAAGTGTTGATCTAACAATACAAAATTTTAACATGGAGATTCAAAAAAGAATTGTGTCATATTTTGTTTTTTTGTACATATGTTTTTTTTTCTAGGTTTTAATAATGTTTATAAATGTAATTTCTTTTTTTAATTAAATATGTATGCTGTTTAAGTTGTGCAAAGATGTAATTAAAATGTCTATACTGTGTAATTTGTAAGTTTTTAATATTTTAGATGATTTAACAGACTGTAATAACACAAGTTGGGGGAAAAAAAAAGATTTTAGGCTTTTTTTTTAACAAATGCAAGTTGCACACTGTGTTTGAATTTTCAACAGATGTCAGTGTCATCCTCATGTCTTATTTTGTCAAATAAAGTTGCAAATATACTTTTTTCCCCCTTGGTTTTATTGTGTGAGACTAAATCTGTGACCCAAGTCCATCCAAATGATTCATCTGAGCTCATTTTGACTGATAAAATAAACTCAACATTGAAATGTCATTGCAGAATTGCATCGTTGCCTCGCAGCTAGAAGGTCGCCAGTTTGCATCCTGGCTTCCTCCTACAAGGTCCAAAAACATGTTGAGGTTAATTGGTGATTCTAAATTGTCCGTAGGTGTGAATGTGAGTGTGCTTGGTTGTCTGTCTCTAAGTGTAGCCCTGTGATAGACTGGTGACCTGTCCAGGTGAACCTGCCTTCACCCTAAGTCAGCTGGGATAGACTCCAGCCCCCCATGACCCTAATGAGGATTAATCGGTGTATAGATGATGGCTGGATGGATGGTAGCCATGTCGGGAAAAAGACTTGCTGTGAAAGTAACATTACAGCAAAACTACAGCTTACCAATTAACATTCAGGCCAAGACCAAATTCTTCTGAGTAAAGTGCTCTGGAGAGTTGCTTAGCCACAGCAGGCAGCTTTTCAGGAGAAGAACCTCTTATTGACTGTGAATCATGGCGTGGAAATGGCTTCTTCGCAGTCATGGATTCATCTTTTGAGTTCTGCATCATATAACCGAGTGCTTGAACATAATGTCAGGTCATCTATTCAAAAGTTGAACCAGAATTTCACCTTTTAACTGGATAATTATCGATACAACTACATCAAGGAACGGCTCCAAATGAAGAAATGAAAGATGGTAGTTGTAGCCCAGATTTAAATCTTATTGAAATCTTGTGAAAGAATTTGCAACAGGCCAAAAACCTTCAAACATAAGATCAGATAAGCCTTTACTGACCCCCGCAGTGGGAAAATTTGCAGTGTTACGGCAACAAAGACAGTGCAAACATTTGAGAAATGTAGAAAAAAATTTAAAATAACCCAAAATGTATGTACTAGTTATAGAAATAAATGGTGCACACGTCAGTGGTATTGCACAGATCTTTTCATGAATAGAAATACTGGAAGAAGTATTGATATTGCACAGATTGTAAGTAGAGATATATCGATATGGCACAAGTTCTATTATATATAGAAACTGCAACTAATGGAATTTTGCATCGAACATTGGTCAAAAACTTGAGTAGTCAGACTGGTGGACAGTTATGCAAAGTGTCTTCAGACGGTTATTTCTGCTATAGAGGGCAGTACTTGCCTCTATAGCCAAAGGTGCTGTTACTTTTTCCTCTAAAGACTATTGCATGTGTTGATGTTTTTGTAGAAAAAATCATTAGAAAAAATCATTTCTTATGAAGGTGCAGTTTGATGTCAGACAGCACACTTATTGTTTAATTTCCTGATCACCTAATTAACATATTCAGTGTTCTCTCTGGCAGAAAAACCCCAACTATTTAATGACTAATAGTGCACTGTATAGTTCACAGCTTTAAAATAGGGTCATTTTAAAGTGTTTTTAATTCAGAAGAGGCTTACTCCATGAAACAACTCATATGTGCTGATTTTTTGTGTATTTTACTGCTTGAACTCAACATAATTTCACATTTGCTGTATTATTATTGTCAGTGGATTGGGACGGTAACAGATCAATGCTGCTCTCTTGTGGACAGTTAGGACACTGCACGAGTTTCCAATTTATTATTTTATTCCTCATTTATTTGCTCTTCTGATTCTTCAAATGCGTCAGTGTCTCTGTATAGATCTAAGCATCCCACTAAAATGACCAAGAGGTGAGCAAAGAAGGTGTTAATACCTCTGAGGCCGAGGTTTTGATGATGCATTAGACGAACAGTGACCGTTTGAGGAGCCGCTCTAAAAGTATCAAAAGCTAAGCGATAAAGTCACAACACTTTGACCCACAAAGTGATTACTAAATCCTTGTTAAATGTCACGGGATCATGACTGGACTTTTGTAATCTGTCACAGAGGATATCCAGTCATACAACTAGATAAAGGCCCTTTTTCCAAGCAAACAGTGTATCTGCCTCTTAGAGGAAAAGTCCTCATCAAGTGTCCATTTTCTCCAAACAGATGTAACAAAGAAAATTGTAAGTCATGAAGGTTTTCTCCTGACTTTACCTCATCAGATGACTTTAAAGTGGAAAGAAAGTATTTTGTACATCTCAGCTTGCAGAAGGGAGCTGCTGAGCACAGTTGTCTTGATTGTACAGGTTGTATTCTTATTTTAAAATGTGTTGCTCTGTGTTTTCATCATCCTTGAGTTATGCAAAGCCCTCAGAGTTTTTGCAACAGTAATTTTGAAGTGCTCTAGAAGCTGCTGTTGTGATTAATTAGTGCACAGGAGACTCTGTGGTGCAGGATTGAAGTGAAACTGTAATGAAATCTTCTTTTAATGACACAAAGAGTTAATAACTGAACCTACACAAACAAAAATATGATTATTTTTCACTTAAATTAGAGGTCTATAATCCATGTTTTGTGGCTTTGAGCCAGCCTTCTTTTGGGAAAACTACAGCTGAAGTGATAAAACAGTTACATGAGTGAAGCAAAATGTGAAAAATTGTAACAATTGGAAAATTTTGCAGCATCTTTATCAGTAGCCAAACATTTCTAAGACAAGTGGGCTGGTACTGAACTCATGACCTTAAAACTCCTACATCCTGGCTTTAACCCTGGACTTTGTTCAATGACCTTTGACTCCTTCACAGTATTTTTAGTCTGATGCTCACAGACAGCTGAAGTTGAACCTTCAGTCTCTTGTCCGGAGTCTGGATGTTGTGGCTGTAGTTCATGTGTGATGCCTGAAACTCCAGTTTTCTTTTCAAAACCCTGACACTAAAGTCAGTGAGCAGCCAGAGAAAGATCAAGGAGATTTCCCTACATTTACGACCACTTGTTACGACACTTCAGCCATCTCCATGACAATTGAAAAAGCTCTCTTTATTGGCAGGGGCAGGATGTAATGAAAAGCCGTTGAGCTGTAAGTGTTAGTTTGAGGTCAACTTCCCTGTTTCGTGGCCGGCAGCTTTGACTTGAAGTCTAGAAGCTTTTCAGACAGGACACGTTGTGGGATTTACCCATTTATTTGGAATCACATGTATTTGAGTTTGGTGGTGACTCGGCTCAAGTGAGGCTCTGGAACAATCTGAGCAAGCATGACACAGACAGTCCCTGAGATCACAACCCCCAAAACTGTGCTGCAGATTAGCAGAGTCACCTTGAAATGAAATGGACTTTGAGAAAATTAGCCTATGTGTAGCGACAAGTGTGACACATTTCCTTTGAATTTGGGCAGCTTGCACAACCATCTTGCACAACTAGCTTGCAGAAACATCACATCTGGATGCAGGGAATCAGTGCATGCTGAATGCCACAGATGATCATGTGGCAGGACACTGTTACAGTGACTTGGTACAAAGGAAATCTACTATTTAAGAGACTGTGTAGCGTCAAGCATGACACACTTCCTTTGAATTTGAGCAGCCTGCACAACCATCACATCTGGATGCAGGGAACCAGAGCACGCTGAATGAACACAGGTGACCATCCAGCAAGGCACCACCATAGTGGCCCCATATAAAGAAATGACATCAAAACAGACCATGTGCAGCGCCAAGCACGATGCACCTTCTCCAAACTGTGCCAGCACACGAGAAACATGAACCTATATGAAACTGCGTCCCAACGACATGAGTATTGAACCAAATTATGTGGACTTGATTAGTTGGTCAAATGTTGGCAAGGCAGGCTGCAGGGAGAACAGAGCAGATGTGAATGAGGAGCAGTCCTACTAATACTGACTGATGCTTTGTTGTTGCAAAACCTGATTGTCTCCTTTGTCATGCATCTCCTGAAGGGAGGGGAACAGATTGTAACTAGCAGGCAAGGATGGAAGCTCCTTGGTCATACATCTGCAAACATTAGTTGTTAAGAAGACCCCCAAAACCTGCTAAGATGGCAGCATCAGATTGGAACCTTGAGGTGACCAATGATTCTTGACCCAGAGGAAGGTTATGATATCTCAGTGCCTGAATAACAGTGACCCACGGTGAGTCTCACTGTGAGTCTTCATGTCAAGATGACGAGCAACTAATCCAAATTTGGAAAAGCTGAGAAGTCTAGACACAACAGAGGTTGATTAACATTGTATGGTTAAGTGGACATTCAGTATTTATACATAGAGAAAACCAATGTGGCTGTTATTTGTTACAAGTAGTAAGCAAGGGTGTTTACATTTGTCAATATTTTCACTGTTTGCTACTTCTTTTTTTTCTCTATTACATTTCAAATGTGTACTTTTCACTCAGCTACAGTTAGCTGACATCTAAATCCATTCATTCCTTTGCGGAGTTTGATTTTACCCCCAAATTTGTCCAGTTCATAAAATGTGACATTTTAAAGCTTAAATTATGAAGCCCTGTATAAAAGAGTTGGAAATAGTTGTTGGTGACAAAATACAACAGCAAAATTGACTATAAATATTCATGCATCAGTAATACAACTGAAACAACGTGTACATATAATATAAAGGTGAATGGGCTCTGCATGCAGTTCCTACACATTACTGAAAGTTATGAAGACTTCTTTCACCACTGACGACAGCTGTTGACTATTTTCATGATCAATTATTCAATTGATATTTTTAAATTAATTATCCATGGCCCAAATCCCAAAATAATAATAATAATAATAATAATAAAAAGTGTCATAAGTTACCAGTGTTGAAATTTGTGCAGTTAAATTGTTTAATCAGTCAAATTAAAAGAGTCAAACCAGGTGCCAGTGCAGATGTTCATTTTGTGTCCATCCAAACTGACTGATTGCTAGAACTGGTCAAGTTGACTCCAAACTAAACTAAAGTTTTTGTTATATTTGCTGGAAGTCTTCCTGACAACAATCAATTAAGAATTCTGAAAAAAAAGAAAATAAATAAAAATCTGTCCAATCATTGTATGAGACAACTGGCTGTGCTACTTGCTTGTCTAACTTTGCACCTCGTACTCATCCGACTTGGTTCTTTGAAAGCTTTTGCTATTTTACTGACAGTCATCTGTGAGTAAATGATCCACCCAAATGCTCCCTCTGTAACTTATTTTGCAGGCACATTGTCACTTAATTCTGTGCCCAAGATGATGTGTAAATTATCAAGAAATAACACGAGTGTGTTTTCCCACAGCAGAATAATGAAGTGGTGCAGTCAGACCATTCTCCATCGCTGACACCAGTCTGTTAAACAGGTCTTATCGTGTGGTGGTTGGATCACTTTTCTAAACAGTACTGTGACGACAGATAATTTTTGCCGTACAGCTTCTTTACAACAACAACACAACTTCCTCGTTCTGACTCTCATGTGACAACCACAACCAATCAGAATCATGGATGGCTGAGATAACTGTAGATGCAATTCTCTAATAGGAAAACGGAACTACTTAAGCATGTAAATATGTAAAGTACATCCATCCATCC